TTCCCGGCAGTCCTTTTCAGATCATCTGTCCATTTCATAGAAGGCCTGCCTCTGGGTATCTTGTGTTGGTATGGTCTCCAGGTTAAAATTGATCTGTGTCATTTGTTTAGATCGCTCCTAGCTACATGTCCAGCGTATTCCCATTTCAACTTTAATGATTTTTGCACCACATCGGTGACTTTGGTTTTCTGTCTTATCCATGTGTTTGTTTTCTTGTCCTTAAGTGATATACCTAGCATTGCTCTTTCCATCGAGTGTTGAGTGACTCTAAGTATATTCATATTCTTTTTTGTGATTGTCCATGTTTGTGCCGGATAAGTTAATATCGGAATAATGCATGCATCACAAACTTTGGATCTACGATGTAATTGAATTTGTTGATTTCTGAGTATATAGTTCAGTTTACCGAATGCTGTCCAAGCTAACTTTCTTCTTCTTTTTATTTCTTTCGTTTGAATTTCCCTATTTAGGATTATTTTTTGTCCTAAGTATACTTAGGACAAAATCATTACCTATCATTTTTAAAATTATTGCATCGAAAGAATTTGATCACGAAAAAGGGGCAACACTATTTGTATTTATACCTAAAGTCTAAATCTTTGTTAGATAAGTTAATCTGGCAGTCACGTAATGTTTTTTTTTGGATTATCTAAATGACTTTAATGATTCCGTAAATCCAATAATAAAGTCTAAACGTGTTACAAACTATGTAAAAATCTCTTTGATGTGAACATCAAAGATATGCTTACAATAGGTGTTATATCTATTCTAAATGAATTTTAAAAACTGATAATAATTGTTGGAATGCAATAATATTATTAGATAAGCATCTATACATATTTTGAAATAAGGCATCTGCTATCAGCCGTTTGATATCGAAGTTAGTGTCGATAACTAAGCTTCTAAAATTACATTTAATTACAGTGAAAGTAGATAGAGCGAAAAAATGTCCCGAAAACCATTATAAGCTGCCTAACTTCAAGATATTGCTAATAACTTCCGGGATTCCGATGATAAAGAATCTCCTAAAGTAGGTGGCATTGAAAGTGACTCTGAAATTAAAGATCATCTTTCGCAAAGCAAGTAAAGAGGATGATCAGCAAGTAGTATTGAGTGATAATAAAGAAGAATATTTGTTCTTCTTTATTATCACTCAATAACAACAGAAACATTACACACTCTGAAATCTGGGAAACAAGTTCCCAGATGTCAGAGTGTGTAATGTTTGAAACTAAGGATGGAATTAACTGGAAGAATCAACTACAACTGACAGGACGTATGCGATCCTGCGACATAATAAAATGCAAACTGCACAAAGTAATGTTAGCCCCAGGTCAAATTGTAAATGATCCTGTTGGTTCTTTTTGTTTATTTGTGGACGAAAAAATTGTGAACTAAATACTGACGTGTATAAATAAAAAAGCCAAAAAAGTAATGCGGACAGAGAACTGGAAATATTGCGACTCTGCAGAGCTATATGCCGTTATTGGACTACTAGTAACTGCAGGGCACCTGAGTGCCAACATTCATAATGTAGATATACTTTGGAGTAAGTTTTATGGACCTACTATCTTTAAAACTACCATGGGGTTAAAACAATTTAAAAATTTGCTAAGATTTGTCCGATTTGACGATATGGACACGAAGTCTGAACGAAAATGAAACCACAATTTAGTAGCAATACGCGAGTAGCAATACCCCACAATATGTGAAATCAAATAAACCAAAAATTTCAGAAATATTATTTACCAGAAAATAATATCATGGACCTGTGACGGAAACATATTGCCCTTTAGGTGAAATACCATATACAGGACAGGAAAAAAACCGAAATACAGTAGCCAAGGGTCTTGCATCTCATGTTGTAAAGCAACTCGTTAAGCCGTATTATAATTCCGAGAGGAATGTGACTTGCGCTAACTATTTCACTGATTTTGCTGTTGCACATGAGTTACTAGAAAATTCACTAACTCTTGTGGCCACATAGTAAAAAAAAATAAGAGATTTATTTCTCGGGAATTTCTACCAAACAAGAACCGTTTAGAGAAATATTCAATCTTCGGATTTACTCCAAAAGCATATCTTGTTTCTTACGTTCCGAAAAAACAAAGAAAAGCCCTAGCCCTGTCTAACATGCATCACAATGCTTACTGTGCAGATGATGTTGACAAAAAACGAGTTATGCTACATTATTATAATAGTACAAAATGTGGTGTCAATACGCTAGACCAAATGGTTCATAAATATATGTGCAAAAGACGAAAACTAACTGTTGTCTTTTTGAATTTTTTATGAATAATTTTGGACAAACTTACATCCAAAATGAAACGAAAACAAAAATGAAAAGAGCAGATTGTTTTTCAACGTCAGCAGAACAATTAGCGTTACATCAAATTTTGAGAAGAAAATGAAGGAGACTACAATGAGAATCAAAACAATGTATTGAAAAATGCTTACCGGAAGTTGAACCACACAATAAAAAGCAAATACTAGAAATACCTCCAGTTTTAACAAGGAAAAGGTGTAACATGTTCCTACCTATAAAGGACAGAAAACAAAAACAAATTAGTGAAATAGGCAGTAAAAATGTGTGTAACGATCACTGTATAATTAAAAAAGTTTGTAAGTATTGTAATAAAGAAAAAATAAATTACTAATCTATGGCTTTTTATTTTTATTGTTTTTTTTTTAACTTAATATTTAAATTTAATTTGTCATATCAATTTGCTACTCTAGTTAGGAATAAGCTAATATTGTCGCTTAGTCCCAACTAAAATAGTAAACTGATATAACAAAGTATTCATTTGTAAAAGTAAAATATTAATATTCTTCTGACTTATGCGTTTTATTCATTTTGTAAAGATTTTTTTTGTCAAAGGCAACAACACCGTAATCTTTTTCCAGGGTATGCGTAAACATCAACCCCTCTTTGCAAATAAAACGGCCTGTTAGATTTACAAAAGTTTTTATTTACTTAATAATTAATTTGGGTATAAATGTTTATTACTTGTGAATAAATATTTTTTCTACACAAGTTTTTTTGCATTTCATTATTTTATGCAAATCGTTCAAGTAGATCGCATACTCGAGGTAGACCGCATAGTATAGTAGCACATTTTTTTTTAATCTAGACAATTTAAATTTAACTTCAATAAAAAGTTTTCATATACTTATTAAAAATATAGGGGTTAATATAAATAGTACATTTAAGTACAGTGGTGGGACCAACGGACCCGACTTGCCTGGTTACGTAAGTAGAATGTATTACCTGGTTACGTAAGTAAAATGTGTTGCCCAGATAAGGGTTTATTACTAAGGTTACATAGTAGGTTGTGATTCTGTGGTGAGTTGACGTGTTGCAATATTTTGCGGCAGATACTTTGGTGTAATTTTGAAATAAGGTTTGTACTCAATATTTTATATTTGCTTTTTATTTCTTTTTGTGAATTATCTTTAAGAATTATCATTAATTATTTCTCAATAAAAAAAGATAATTAGTAAATATTTTGATAGATATTTTGTAGTAAAAAAATAGCAATAGACTAACTGTAATTTAAATTACAAGCTACCCCTAGTAAATGGACAACTGTCTATTCATTGGAATATTGCATCAGTTTGAATTTTAGCCTGCCAATATAAAAAGTAATACGAAATATTTATAAATAAATTATATTTAAAAAGTTTATTTTTAAGTTAATCCAGTAAGTGGACAGAGTATGAATGATGTAAACATAACGTCTATTTAATGGTTTGTGCATCTGTAGTGAATGTAGAACAAAGACTGATGGCTACATTTACTAGCTAAACCTACTCCAGTAAATAGATCAAATATTCAACAATATTTTACCTAATGTATTAGATAGGTACTAAACTACCTGTTGTTTGCATAACATAATTTTAACACAATAGTCATAAAAACGCAAATAAAACTGATAGGTTCAAATTAATTTCAAAAAGGGTTCCCGCACCTAATTGTGATTGCGACAAGGGTATGATTTCCCTGGATTTGGTAGTTTACCCCATAATTATCCTTTGCCTCATACTTTTGGACAGTTTGGCCACGCACCCTTATTTATAAGTGTTCTTCTTTTCTCACTAATCCGTCCACGAAGCTGAATATATTTTTCTACTTACCTATACCTATTGACCTATGTACTCCATTGACATTTACCTTTTGACCTAGTTGGCACTCCATTGATCAGTAGGTAGATGATCTACTCAATTGACATTTACGTGTCTATCTTTGTAATTAAAGTTACTTAGAATACTCACTTACAGGATGATATTCATGACAAAAAAAAGAAGACAAAACGATTTTGCTATAACAAGGAGGTGATAACAGAGGCCTTAATAATAATAAGATCAAATAAAAAGTCTTAAAATAATTCTTACTGATTATCCTTTAATACCCAAGAGCACTCTGTATAAATATTTAACAGACGAAACAATTTCAGCGATAACAATGGATCACCCATAACAACTATCAGAGGAGGAAGAAAATCGTTTAACAACATGGATTGTTATTAAAGCAACAATAGTTTATTCAATAGACCGTTCAGAATTCATGGATAGTGTTCAAAAAGTCCTGAAATCATGTTCATTAAATAATCTTTCTACTGAAGATTGTTTGGGGAAAAACAGGAAAACAGCTGCAGCTCTTTCTAAAAAGACATCTAACTATCGTCAGCCGAAATACGGAGATGATCTACAGCAAGGGCTGTAATGATAGGACACGACTAAGGAAGTGGTTCAATAAAGTAAGGGATCATTTAAACTCCGACGGAGCACTTGATATTCTTTAAGACGGTAGTCGTATACTAAATTATGACGAGACTGGGTTCCTGACATGCCCAAAATCAGGGAAATTCCTATGCGCTAAGTTGTATAAAAGGTTTTATGAAGTTTCTTGTGGGCAAGAGAAGAAATGCATTACGGTTTTTTGCAACTTTTTGGGAGACGGATCTGCCTTACCTTCTATGATAATTTTATCATACAAATGAATGCTACCTCTTGTAGCCAGTTTAACTCCGAAAGAAATAGGAATAGACTTTTCAAATCAGGTTGGATGATATCAGCAACCTTTTTTGAGTATGTAATAAACACAATGGTACCATAGCTACATGAAAAAAAAAGTGTTATTCCCTGTTATTTTATTTTTAGACGGCCATAAAAGTCATCTAAAAATACACTTCAACACGTTTTGCTTGGAAAATAAAATCATAGTTCATTGCTTACCTCCTAATGCCACTCATATAATCCAGCCATATGATACAAACATTTTTAAACCCCTAAATACAGCTTGGGCCAAAGAATTGAGGAACTTTAAGCAACAAGGATCATCGATTACTAAACAAAATTTCACTCCTCTGTTTTATGACACGACTGATAGTTTCTGCCCTCCAGGGACGATTTTTAAAAAATAATTATTTACTTTACAAATGCGAGAACTTTATTACAATATTAAAATCGGACTTCACAGTACAAAGATTCAAATCAGACTGAATTATAATTTATAAAATAAAATACATTACACATTGGAAAATAAAACAATAATTCATAAGTTGCACTTTTACATTCAGGTCGATCATAGTTCAGGTGCTGACGCATCGGATTTAGGGTATTGGCTTATGGGGTCAACGACTATAACTCCTCCACCCTTAGTTTCTGGAATTTTTCATGGAATTGAAAAATGACCTAGGTTGGGCTTCTGGTAGGTTTTCTTCAGGATCATCTTGGATGTGAGCACTCTCCATAGGACTATCATCTTTTCTTTGTGAATTCGTTCTTCTTAGACATTTAATACCAAAATATGCAAAAATTATTATAATCAGTAATATTATTGATATGTTCCAAAAATTAAAAGGAGTAGTAGCTTTTGGGTTTTTGAGTATCAATGATTTAATTTCTTCTTGTTTCTTCTTAACTAAGTGAATCTTGTCTAGTTGGACATCTTCGATATGGACTTCGGGAATCTCTTCTTGATGAGGATAAGGAATAACTATATTTGGAAGTAATAATGGTTGACTTTCAGAAATAAGGCGATTGTTGCTAAATGTTTGATCTTCTGTTCTATACTGGCATTGGAAAGGAACTGTGATGAGATAATTTCCAGAAATTAATTGAAGGTCTGTGTTAGTACAGTTCATTTGGATTTTGGTTTTGGTTACCAAAACGGCGATGTAGTGGGACTCATCTATTTGTTGGATCATATTTTTTGAAATGTGAACTTTTATTCTTTGGCATCTCGTAGGATTGGATTTCAGTTTAAGGAGTTGAAATAGACAGTCTTCTTCATTTTTGCTTTTCAGATGATTCTCGGGACAGAAGAATTTGGGCTTCAGATTTGAGCATGGTACAGATGTGTATTGGTAAAAATTTTCATTCATTATCAGATAGGTATTAGGGGGTACTATGGTGGTTGATTTACAGTAGGAATCGAGTATAAATGATAGTAGGAGTATTCGTCGGGATACGCTATTGGAACATGGACAATGAAAACAATTGTCAAGTTAGAGTAGTACGCTTCTGTTTCTAAGATATTATAATATTTATTTATGTCTGATGTGATATTCGGATAAATTAGTTCGTTTCTTGAATGATATTTCGTGATTTGAGTTAATATTGACTTCAGTTCATTAATCTTTACTATACTACTATTTAAAATACCTAGTCTCGCAAATGTTATAGAGTTTTCTATTTCTGTTAGTAACTGTACTATAATATTTATACTTATACTTAATTGATCTAATATATTTCTAGTTATAAGGAAATCTTCGAAATTAAAAATAAATTTATTAAGGTTTGAACGAATAGATTCTAAACCAGAGAAAATTACTTCTTGATTACTTTTTATGAGAGAAATAGTATTATTGAAATTATCTACAATCTCTGTCGATAATGAAATTTGTTTATTAAGTTTAGTTACAATATTATTTTGGTTACTTTTTAGTTCTTCTAGTGCGCTATCGTAATGTTTTGCGTCTTCTGTATCTAAATTTCCTGTAATACATTTAATAATTGAGCCTAGTCCGTCTATAAGACCTCTTTTTGCTCTGTGATTGGGTAAAAGTGATTGGAGTTTTTGTTCAGCTAGTTGTAGCTGGAAGTAAAGGACACGATCGAAATTTTCTAATTCGGAATAATAAGGACTACTTAGTCCGTCTTTAATTGCAGCTGTTACATTTTGGTAGGAAAGTCTTGGGGTATTTATTTCTTTTTGAATTGGTTCTAAATTGACATAATGAATAAATGAATGAGTACTGGATTTAATTTTTGCAGAACCTAATTTATAAGGGAGTATTCCAGGATTGTCTTTAAGATTTGTAAAGGTGATTTCCTTAGTCTCGGCTTGTTGAAGTCCCAGGACCATCATCGTTGTCACTAGGAACCTGCAAGAGTTTTTTCCGGTTAGTTTTTGGTCGTCTCAAGTTTTGTTTGTGTAAAAGTCTTTTTTGAGTAGCAACTTTAATTTTTGCATCTTTGACAACTTTATCTTTCATAAATTTAGGGTTAAGTTTATTTCGTACAAGTGTCGTGTTTTTCCTATAAACATCACTGTCTTCTTCATATGTGAGTGGTTCGTGTCGATCCTTATTGTTATATTCAATGCTTTTTTCTTTTTGTTCGATCAATTTTTTATTAGGTTCTTTATAGATCTCTTTGGTCATATCTCTATGTTTTTGCATATAATTATTAATCAGTTTTTGGTCTATGTTCATATCAAATATTTCTTTAGTGTTAATGTGTCCATTTATAATATCTATAGGCTTTTGTTGAGTTACGGAATGTATTGAGTTATTATATCCTAAAATAGCATAAGGCATTTGATTTAAGATATCAATTTTTCCATCTGATTTACTTCTAATTATTCGTAGATGTTCTATTAGAGTAGAATGAAATCTCTCTATAGATCCTTTAGATTGGGTACTATTTGTAGTAACATAATGAGTTTTTACTTTATGTATATCGAAGAATTCTTGTACAACAGAGTTTTTTAGTTCTGTGCCTCGGTCCATAGTTACAAGATCAGGAATTCCATGATGTGTCATAAAGGTTAGAAAAGCTCTTACAATTTCAGTACTTGTCAATGCTGAAAGTGGGTATGCTTGACCGTATTTAGAAAATGTGTCTATTATAGTAAGAAACTTTTGGCCTTGACTTTGAAAAGTGTCTGCAAATATTATTTCAAACGGTTTTGAAGCTGTGGGTGTAATCATTAGTTTTTGATTTGGCGGATTACGATCATATTTATTTAATTGGCAAATATTACAATTATTTATAAAATCTGTTACATTTTGTTTTATTCCTGGCCAATAGTAGGTGCGTTTAATCCTAGTTTCTGTTTCTAGAATGCCGCGGTGATTGGTTTTTCCTTCATGAAATAACCTTATCATCTTATGCTGTTCATCTTTGTCTACTAAATCTTTTAAGATGCTGTTACATTTTATTAACTTGTAGGCAGAATTTTTAAATGTGCTTTTTAACGTTTCTAATATTTCTGGTATAAAGATATCTTCTTTAAAGTACACAGCATATTTGTATTTTGGGTCAATGTAATTTTTGAATATATTAATAGTTTCTTCTACAATATTATTTTTTGAAATTTGGATATAAAGTCTTTTTCTGTTGGGAAATATATTTTCAATTTTTGGTTTGACAGCTGAATGTAAAACAAAATCAATTACAATTTGGTGATCAAAAACATTGAGATTTTTATCAGAAATTGGCATTCCTAGTATTGGATCTTCTATACTAGTATGTACAGTTTCTCCGTCATCGTCATTATCTTCAATTTCGTTATCTTGGTCATTTCCTTGTTCTAAGTTTTCTTCGTTAATATTGTCGTCGATATTTACAGCCATCGAAACGTTATCATCATCGATCCTTGTCGGAGTCTTATTGTGTTCTTCCATGTATTTTAAAAATTCATTACAATGAATCTCTATTCTAGATAGGGAGTCTGCATTTGCATTGCAACTTCCTTTCTTATATTCGATTATGTAATCGAATTCCTCTAATTTTAAACGCCATCTCACTAATCGTGAATTCGGTTCTTTTAAAGACATAAGCCACTGTAAGGGTTTATGGTCTGTCATAATTTTAAATTGTCTTCCAAATAGATAAGGTCTAAAGTACTTAGTTGCCCATACTATCGCAAGAAGTTCTTTTTCTATAACACTGTAGTTTTGTTCGGACTCGTTTAATGTTCTAGAGGCATAAGCTACTGGTTTGTCTTGACCATTTACCATTTGAGATAATACGGCGCCTACTGCTACATTACTTGCATCGGTAGTTAATATAAAATCTTTATCAAAATCTGGATACTGAAGTATCGGTTCGTTAATTAATAGATTTTTGCAATCTTCGAAACATTTTACAAATTCTGGAGTATGTTCTATCTTAGCATCTTTTTTTAGACATTTCGTTAATGGTTTAGTTAATCTGGCAAAATCTTTTATAAATCTCCTGTAATATCCTAGTAAACCTAAAAATCCTTTTATTTCGCGTGCTGTTTTTGGAATTGGATATTTGACAATTGCGTTAATTTTATCTGGGTTTGGTTTTACACCTTCTGTAGTTACAATGTGACCAAGATAGGCTACTTCTTTCCTTAAAAATTCACATTTATCTAGTTGTATTTTAAAATTATTGGCTTGTAAACGTTTAAAAACTTTTTCTAAATTTACAATATGCTCTTGTAGTGAGGTAGAAAAAATAATTATATCGTCTAAGTAAACAAGACAGATCGATGGCCTAACTGCAATATCCCGTATCTGACAATTTTGAGATTTTGAGAATTTCATTGCATCAGGTTTGTTGGGTTGCCTAGCATGTTGTGTCAAAACTCTGTATCATACAAAAAATAAGAAAGCCTTGAAAATTGCTTTTATTTAATATCCCGTATTGCTCGTCAGAAGACGTGTACATAAAAATACCCCGTATCTGTCACTTTTACATTGTATTCTTCGACAACCTACACGTGTCTGAGTTTATTCATCTGTTTAGTGAATTAATCATATTTCAAAGGTAAGTTTTACTACTATTTTTATTAAAAATATATTTCTGCTGGTATTTTTATAAATTTTAATTAACCTAGGATATTATAACTTGATAAAAGGGTCTAATATTGTGAGACCTTACGATACGGGATATTGACTTCTTGTTGTGAACAGGTTTGCATACTAATTTTTAGTAGATACAGGCTATTATTATAACATTGTGCATTGCGTGACATCAAAATTTAAAGTCTTTGATATTAGTTTATTAAAAAATAAAAAAGCGAAAGCTGCTTTTGTCCTGCTAAAGTAGCGGGATTGTTATTTTACTTTATTAAACCAAAATTTAATCTAAAGGGACTGTTTTTAATATGAATCTAGTCTACACTGAGAAAAATTTAAAAATAAACACCTCAGTTAGGTATACAGGACGTAATAGATATTAGTACAAATAAGAGATTTATTACCCCTATGTTTTATCAACTTTGTTTCTTGTTTTGACTTACCCTATTATCCATTAAATTATTTGTGCTCATACCTTTTACAATCTGTATAAGATTAAGTTATCTTAATTATATTTTTTTTTCAGATGCAGGCAACTCGATCACACAGAATTTTGTCTATGGTTTTAAATCGAAAAGAAAATAATCAACAGCCTTCTAGCAGTACCAAGAAAGTTTCTGAAACTGCTGTATTCACTGAGTTCAGTGAAGTCTATAAAGTAAGTGCCACAGATGGGACCCTAATACCGATAGAAGGAGATTTTCGAGATACTACTCACTGGCATGATACTGAAAATAACTCCATTTTGCTCAGCAACTTTCAACAGCCAATATTTCAAGATGAAGTCCTCGGTGAAGTCGCACATGAGTACCTTGTAGAAACTGATGAAAGAACAGAAAACACTACTTCAAGTTTTGCATATTTAGAACAGAGTAAAATTCAACAGCAAATATTTGAAGATGAAGTCCTCTGTAAAGATACACATGAGCACCTTGTAGAAACTGATAAAGTAACAGAAAATACTAATCCAGATACTTATTTCAAGCAAACTGCTTTATTGGAAATAGGCAATTTGCACCTTAAACCCGGTTCAAGCATCACCTCTGAGGATTCCAATCAAAACGACGATGACTATATCCTTGAAGAAGATCCCGAATGTTCAGATAAAACTGCTAATAATGAAGAGAAAACAGACAGTTCGAGGAGGTCACATGAAAATAAACTAAATGAAGAAAATAGAATAAGACGCAGAAAGCGGAAGGCAGATGTGGAAAACTGGAACAGGCAGGCAACAAAATCTAGAAGAATGCATGGAGTGGAATACGCTGGTTTCCAAAGAAATAAGGATCGTAAAGTATCCTACGGAATAAAGCGACCAGAGAGAAAGATAAGAGACAGGTGTGTATCTTTAGCATGTACGAAGTCTACAAAGCATTTCTGTGGGTCCTTCTCGGAGGAAGAGAGGAATCTTATGTTCCGAACTTTTTGGGGCAAAATGGACTGGCAAGAAAAGAAGGCATACATAACGGGTAACATGGAATACACAAAAACGAAAAGGTCATCGAAAGGTAAAGAACCATCAAGAAGAAGTGGAACCTATTACTATTATTTAAGAAACAAAACTAATGAAAAAAAGAGAGTCTGCAAGAAAATGTTCTTAAATACGTTCGATTTAAAAGAAGACATGGTTCATGATTGGTTCAAAAAGACAGAGCATGGGCTTATTTGTATAAGAGAAGAAAACTCAAACACAAGTGCGGATCAAAGAAGATCAAATAATTTTAATAAAGGAAAAAGAAATTGTCTGGTTGATTGGTTCAACATGCTACCAAAGATGGCCTCTCATTATTGTCGCAAGGACACAAAGAAAAAATATTTAGAGACAATTTTTCAGACCAAAGCTCAATTATATAGAGAGTATTTAAAGCACTGTGATAATAACAGTCTGGAAAAATTATCGTATGCTATTTTTGACCAAATATTTTGCGACTTAAACCTAAGTTTGTACCAGCCAAAAAAAGACTGGTGTGATACCTGTAGCGCATTTGAAGTTAAGAATATCGACCAGTTTGCTTACGCATCACACATAGAAAGAAAAAATCTAGCAAGGGAGGAGAAAGCCAAAGATAAAGAAGATGCTATCAACCACAAAAATTACACTTTTACAATGGACCTTCAAGCTGTAAAAAGCTGCCCCGTCTTGAACGCAAGTGCCATATATTATAAAAAGAAACTAACAGTTCACAACTTCACTATGTATAACTTAAAAAATCATGAAGCCTCTAATTATTGGTGGGATGAAACAGAAGGAGATCTGTGTGCATCTACTTTTGCTTCCATCATTATACACCATATTGAACAAAACTGTAATGACCGAAAATTACCTGTTATTCTCTGGTCTGATGGGTGCTGTTACCAGAACAGAAACTCTACACTTTCCAACGCGCTTCTAAATCTCTCTATAAAAAGTGGCCAAATTATTATTCAGAAATATCTTGAGAAAGGTCACACCCAGATGGAGTGTGATAGTGTGCATCATCTAATAGAGATGAAACTTAAAAATCGTAAAATTTTTCTTCCACACGATTACATAACATGTACTGAAGAAGCGCGGATAAAACCAGCTCCATTTAAAGCGCAGATGCTTACTCATACATTTTTTAAAAACTATGCATCCTGCGAACTTGCGTATAGAAGTATTCGACCTGGAAAAATGAAGAATGATCCGACCGTCACAGATCTCAGGGTATTAATGTACGATCCAGAGAAAAAACAAATTTTGTTCAAAACTAGTTTCAAAGATGATTTTAAGACATTGCCTGTACGGGCTGTCAATCCCAAAGGCCTAGAAATGTCGTCGTACCCTAACTTACACAACCAAAGACTAAGTATAAAGAGTGATAAGTATACTCATTTGCAAGACCTTAAGGTACTTTTACCTACCGACAGTCATATGTTTTACAACAATTTACCCAAAGATAACAAAATTTAGGTAGATATCTTAAAAGTTTTTAGTTTAGTTATTTGTTTTTAGAAAGTTAATATTTATTAAACCTAATTTTCCTTTAAAGGTTAATTAAAAGGTTAATTTTTAGTTACATATTTTTTTACTGTTTTACTTTACATTTATGTTTGTAACTTCTAATAAACTTGTTTTGTACCAATTTTTGTTTTGTTTTTACTACCTGTTAAATTAATACTAAAAACCCGTATCTAAAATTTATGTTACAACATTTTTGACAATACCCCGTATCTACACAAAAAAAACTCAAAATACTGCAAAATGTACTTTTTTACCTTTTATTTACTAAAAAATAAAATTATTCATTTTAAGGTCAAGAAAAAAGTCTTGTATTCATTCATTTTTTTGTTTAAAATCATATTTTGTCTCTCCTGTAAAATTCACTTATTTCAGATACGGGTTATTACAGTTAGGCCATCGAGATGTCATCTTGAAGACCTCGCAGAATATCTTCCATAACTCTCTGAAAAGTTGCAGGAGCATTCTTGAGTCCAAATGGCATACGAACATATTCATAATGTCCGTTCTCAACATTGAAAGCTGTCTTGGGAATATCGTCTGGGTGCATTTCAATTTGATGGAAACCACTAGCTAGATCAAGTGTACTAAAATAGTTGCATCTGCCTAATTTATCAAGTGTATTAATAATATTTGGTAATGGGTATTTGTCTGGAATTGTTTTCTCGTTTAGTTTCCTATAATCTACGACAATTCTCCATTTCTTTTTTCCTGATGCATCTGCTTTTTTTGGTACTACCCAGATTGGCGAGGACCAAGGTGAGTTGCTTGGTCTAATAATTCCTTGTTCTAACATTTTATTTATTTGACCATTTACTTCTGGTTTATGAACAAAAGGGTATCTATACGATTTACTATAAATAGGTAGTTCATCCTTGGTTTTTATAAAATCCTTAACTCTATTTGTAAATGTAAGAGGTTTATCTTCGCTATGAAAAAGATTAGAATATTTATTGCAAATTTTTAGAATATTTCGTTTTTCTTCAGAGTTCATATGGGATGTACGAATTAAATTTTCAATATCAAATTTTCCGATTTCATCGGCAGGCACTATGTCTGCATGGAATAATTCATGACAATTTTCGTCAAAAGGAACAGTGTCAATTGGAGCATCTAAGGTGACAAAAATTTCATCTTGGGTTCTGTTATAGATTTCAACTAGAGCAAAACCATCTATTGCATTCGAGAGACATGCAGGGATTTCACATTTTTGAATAGTTTGGTCAGGGATAAATATACATCCTGATTTTCGAGAAACTGGAATTTTGGCTATACTACAAGATAAGGGGTCCAATTTTTGTTTGAAAATTATTTTTAGGTCAGATTTATAGTAGGTTATAGGTATACTGGAATATGGAGTAGTTAATTGGGAATTTACGAAATCTAACTTAGCATTAAGATATTTTATATTATCTAGTCCTAAAAGACCATCAAAACTTCTATGAAAATCAAAAAGATGGAATTTAATCTTACCTTCCTGATTAAATTCTGAAAATATGGGGATTTCTGCACAAAAGTCCTTCTTTGTACTTTGAAATACTGCGGAAACAACAAAGGGTTCATAAAATATATAATTTTTATAGAAAAGGTTAGCTTTTTCGGGATTTAAGAAAGATTTAGAGGAACCTGTATCTACCAGTAGCTTTAATGGAGGATCATGAATCTGAATATATGGCAGTTCTCTTTTATTTGTGGAAAAATTTAATTCTATTAAGTTGGTCGGTTTTGAGAGATGTTGTCTTGAAAATTTTGATGATGCTCTTCGTTAACAATATCAAAATCTTGTTGATAAGAAGTCTGAGGAGTATTGTGATTATCACTATTATTAATGGATTCGTATTCGGTACTATATAATTCTTCGAATGTAAAATTTTGGTTTGGATTTCTAGGGTTGTGGAAATTATTTCTGAAATGGGGAGTACTATTTCTAGTAGTTGTACTCATAGGAGTAGATGTGTTTGGAGCAAAATTGGGATTTGTTCGCCAAGCGTTCTGAGCTGGCTTGTTAGAGTTTTGAAAGCTATTTCTGAACTGGGGGTTACTATTCCTAGTAGATGTACTCATGTTGGTGGGTCTGTTGGGAACAAAATTTGGATTTAGTCGCCACACATTTTGAGTTGGCCTATTAGAATTTTGGACATTATACTGATAGTTTTGGGGAGTGTTTCTTTGATACTGATGTGGTTGTGAAGGTTGAACCTGTCTATTATTGTGAGAATTTATTTGGGAATGAAAGTTATAGTTTTGGTTTCTAGAATATTTATTAGTATTATTATTATTATTATTATTATTATTAAAATTTTGACTTTTTTGATAATATTTAATATTATCTTCTTCTTTAATAAATTGTATAGCTTGCTCGATAGATTGTGGTCTCATTGCCCGAATTATCGGTCCTAAAGGTTCTCTTAAACCTGCTAAAAATGTTTTTAATGCTTGTTTATTAAAGAAATCTCGTTTATATGCACGCTCCTCACCAAGATGGTGTAAATCTATATAGTTACAAATAGAATTTAATAAATCTAGCACCTTTTCATGAAACTGATAAGGTGTTTCGTTTGGTTTTTGTTTAAGATTAACTAGGTCTTGATTTAGGCAATTTTCGTCTCTTTGATCAGCAAAATTTAAAATTAATGTATTTTTTATACCATCCCAATCAGTATTACCGCTAATCGCAATTATCTCTTCAGCTCTTCCTTCTAATTTATTTAATATACCATTTAATAATAAACAATTTTGAAAGCTATTAGGATTAGTTGTATCAAAATAATGCTGTAAAATTGATTCGGTAGCATTGATAAATCTATAAAGTTTATTGATATTGCCATCAAAACGAGGAATAATGGCTAAATTTGCGATATCTAACTTAGGTACAATAATATGAGCATTTGAAGTACTTGATGAAGTCATTTTCTATTTATTTATTACTTTTCTTTCTTAATTATATTCTTATCAATCAAAAAAAAAAATAATAACTAACTAATACGTACTCTTGACTATTATTTTCACAAAAGGATTTAATAGGCAAAGAGGAGTCTGAATATGAATAAAAATTATTAGCTTACCACATTTATGTACTTCTGCTTGATGTCCCTGGAAATTCTGGATGTCCGGATGGAGCCCAAAATCACTGACAGTTCGAAAAGTTTTTGAAAAACGGAAACCAATTCTTTTTTCGTTAAAGAGTTAAAACTCACGAATATCCGCAATGGAATTCTACGAAAAATCCACTAAGACTGCGCCACTGATAGTTTCTGCCCTTCAGGGACGATTTTTAAAAAAATAATTATTTACTTTACAAATGCGAGAACTTTATTACAATATTAAAATCGGACTTCACAGTACAAAGATTCAAATCAGACTGAATTATAATTTATAAAATAAAATACATTACACATTGGAAAATAAAACAATAATTCATAAGTTGCACTTTTACATTCAGGTCGATCATAGTTCAGGTGCTGACGCATCGGATTTAGGGTATTGGCTTATGGGGTCAACGACTATAACTCACGTTTAAATCTTCTGTTAACAGTGACTTAATAAGAACTGCATTTCGTGACTATGACTTATTTATTTTTGACTCAAACGCAATTGAGTACAGTTTAGGAATTCTGAAAATTGTAAAAGATGTGACAGAAAAACGTATTCCAGAAACAGCAATCACTGACAAAGATTTTGTCACGGTAAAAAAAAACGTATCACTTTAAGAAGTGTGGAAAATGTGTGTAGCTAAAACATCTATTTTAAGTGCAAATCCTGTTACGAATGTTGATGACATCAATGTGATGAACTTGCCTATCAAATTCGCTGATGATGCCTTACAGGAAAATAGAGAATCAAAACATTATGAAGGTATTTTCTGAAGAAAAGGCCATTAAAATAGTACTAAACATCAACATTAATAATATTAATTTATATGATCAGGACACATGTGATAAAATTGGTAAGCATACAGTTTCTTCAACGAATAAGACTGTTCTAGAAAAATGTAATTTAATCCCTAATATGTGTATTTCTTCAACGAATAAGACTGTTATAGAAAAATGTGATTCAATCCCTAATGTGTGTGGTTCTCTAACGGAAAAAACTATTCCATCAAAATGTTATTCACTCTCTGATTTACCTGTTTCTGCAAGTAATACTATGAAAAAAACTGAATGTAATGAAATAAGGCTTTTTTGGCTTGTTTGGTAAGTAAAAGACCCACTTTGCTCTCGTGGCTCCCATTTTCTTTACCACTGTATAATAGGAGTTCTCCTGTTTGGGTATGGTGTTCACCATTGCCCAACCATCTTACTTCCGATAGACCGACAAAGCTTAATTTGTACCTATTTAACCCTTTTACTGCTTGAGCTAGTTTAGAAATCTATGTGTTCCGTCCGGTTTGTTTCTACCAAAGTTTCAGTAATAAGGTCAAATTTAGGATGGGTAGGTTACTATCCTTCCGCATCCGAGTCTGGTGCCGGGGCTGCCGACTGTGGCTTCCAGATAAGCCTCAGGGGGTAGTGGACCTGGAGATGGTAACGGCATTTCCTCCGTGTAGGATGATAAGGTTATACCACCTATACTCGGTCATCAGAGCCTCGTTTGTGATAACAGGGTTTACCAACGGGAAGGTGAGGTTGACTGTTCAGTAGGAGAGGCTATTTGAGACGCATCACTACCCCATTAGAACCCCGTGGATTCGTTTTAGTTACCTTTTAAAAAAAATTTGAAATTTTTTTGACAGGTCGTCCAAAGGTACGACACTGTGTTGTACCTTTGTCTACATTATGTAGTACCTGTGGTCAGAGAACAGATTACTTTCGATTAAGAAGAAACAACACAAACGAACAGAACCTTATTTATTACATGAATTATAAGATGACAAATATGATTACTTAACATTGTATGTATCAAATTTAACATTAAAGGACATCATATTTTGTTGGCGTTGCGATGTTCCAACCAAAAATGGTGAAGGCAGTTATTTTATTATGTCGCCTTCGTAGATACAAGAGATTTCCTAATCTGAATAGACAAGTTTATTATTTCCAATAACTATTTTTAAATATTTGACTATGTATTCGTCATCTAAAATCTTAACTATCTTGGCAACATAGTGTGCAATATTCTTTTTACTAGACAATTTTACGAGAACAAAATCACCTTCTGTTAACTTAAAAAAACTCAGTATTTCTTCACTTTGTTGCTCTAGAATAATTTTCATTTTCGTTTGGCAAAAAAGTTTCTAAATCCTCGTCACTTGAATCCTTTGTTTTGTTTTTATCTCTTTATCAGATTCATCTAAACTATCGCAGATAACCTTCCTTTGGTTTTTGGTTTTTTCACCTTACTTTGCAATAGTTCCTCTTTCTCCGGGGTGTCTGTCAAAATTCTTGTTTTATTACGCTTTCGTCCCTTTTAAGAAATCTTTCAAGCTACAACTTTGGAAATGGGCTCACTACAAACGAGCTTTTGAAGTCAGCGTTATTTGCCTTGTTGTCATTATACTGCAGTTGAAGGACGATGTCAAGTTTAATGTTGATGGAATTGCGGATAGTTGAAGGCTTGATGAGTAAGATGCCGTATTAAGATTCTCTTCTGATTCGGGAATTGGGCGATCTTTTACATAGGACGACAGATATTCGTGGTCGCCAAATATATTTTCATTAACAGGCCATATCCCTGTTTTTTCAAATTATTTGACAATATTTGCAGGGGTAAATGCTTTTGCAAATGCCTTGCTTACGAGTCTGGCTACGTCGTACAAGCTTATAGGACGTCCAGAATGGGTCATCATTCACTCATTAGCTATGGTGTTGTAGTAGGTTTTGTATGGTCCAAAAACCATCCTGTCAATAGGTTAAGTTCTGTGCAAGGTATGTGGCGGCAACGTTAATGGCACAATATTATTTTCCTTCGCCAAATAAGTCACGGAAACTGCCATATGACACTATGGGTGATTATCGAGTATTAGTAGCACTTTTTCTTGCTATCTCGGCTTAACATACGGCATAACATAACGGCTATAAAATGTTGCAAGTTGTGTAAGAAAAGCTTCTTATTTGACCATCCTAATGGATTTGCGCCTCCAACTGAACCTGGTGGTGCACCATGTAATATGTGCTCCTTGAAAAACACGCGAAGGAATATTAACATGGGCTGCACCGCCCAATGTTTACCAATGACATTAACCGCGGCAATTAAAGTTACATTGATCCCTCTTTCTCCGGATGTCATATTACCCAGTTGTTTTACAACTTTTAAGGCTATTAACTTAAGGTGGGGTATGGACTAAAGAATTCCCGGTTTCATCTTAATTATAGATATTGACAGGGAAAAACTTATAGCGTGACATTACTGTTTTAAGATTGTTGAAAAAAGCTTGTAGCCTCGGGTTTTCTTAACGACAATAATGGATGCCGTTTCATGAAATATCTTAGCCATTCTTTGCCTGCAGTTGCATTTGAAGTCCAATTGTCTGGTATTTTTATCTTGTTTTTATGTGCGTATTGAAATGCTAAAATTCTTGCATCTTTTTTTGTGAGTCATCAAATATCAAATATCATATTTTTTCCTAGATCCACTTTGTCTCTTTTTATTCCACTTTTGGGTGTCAATTCCAAGTTTGGTGTCAGTTTACTTGTTTTTTAAGTAAAAAAGCATTAAGACTAGCCGAGTGCAGTAAGGTTAATAAATGACATGAGCGATAAAAATTGCCTTAATGCGCGGTGCATATTAAGGCAAAGAGACCACTGAGCATTCTCTGATTTAAAATTATTTATTGCCTATGCATGAAAAATACACGTCAGTGCCGATTTCGACTTACTTTAGTGTCTACTTCCAGTGAAATTACAGATAAATTAGAAAAAGTAAATGTTTTGTTTTTGTCTTTGGTCATTGCCAGTTGTACCTCTGACCAGGCCAAATGTTCCAAAGTACAACAATGTTTACGACTACCAAAACACATTAATTTTTTTAAGGTTATGTAAACTTTATGGATTGGTGAACACAAGTTTTAAATAGCAAACATAGTATATTTCTTACCTGAGAAATTATAGATAAAAACAGCCACAACTTTGTAACACTCCGACTCTTTATGTTCTCGCTAATTATTCACCTTTAATTCGTAAAAATTCACAAACTTGACTAAATTCCAAGCGAAATTTAAAGCGAAACTATTGTACCGACCTCAAGTGGTCAATAGCAAAACGTTAAAGCAAAAATTCTTTCCAACACGGAGAAAACAACAATTTTAACGACAGTATCCAGAGGTGCAAGCGCCCAAAGGTACAACACTCTCCCCTATTGTTCGCTTGTTATCCTGTCCCCTTGCACTAATTATTTAGTTAGTTACTATTGCTAATTGTATTTTTATCTCGACTACTTCTTCGTGCGAATATCACGTAGTTGTTTTGGTCAAAATTGTTTTTAGGTACCTAGGTATCTAAGGAGATAGAATCTAGATAGAATAGGATCTACCAAAGAAGAGATAGAAAAGGCAATATTAAATTCAAAAAACAATAAGGCACCTGGACCAGATGAAATCCCGTCAGAAATACTCAAATTACTAGATGAAAGGGGAATTTCAACACTACACAGAATATTTAATTTAATTTATGAAACTGGCTGCTATCCTCAACAGTGGTTACGCTCTACCTTTATTCCCCTGCTCAAGAAAGTACCACAAAGCGTTTGATCGTGTCCAACACCACAAGTTAATGCAGATTCTCAAGAAAGTTGATATAGACCAAAAAGACATAAGATGCATTGAAAACTTGTACGGGCATCAAACGGCACAGTTAAAAATAGACAATTCTATATCCAAACCCATACATAAAGAGGCGTTCGACAGGGATGTGTGCTTTCCCCTCTTTTATTTAACATTTATTCGGAAGCCACATTTCAAGAGTCTTTGGAGGATGCAGAGATGGGAATCAAGGTGAATGGAGTATTGATCAACAACATACGATATGCTGATGATAGTGTCTTAATTTGTGACAACATAGTCGATCTTCAACACCTTGTCACTATAATCGGAGAATACAGTAAGCGAATGTGATTAGAGATTAATACCAAAAAGACCAAATTTATGATCATCTCTAGTATTTTAGATGCACTTGAAAACTCCACCATAACACTTAATACTAAGTCCATTGAAAGAGTGAGTAAATTTAAACACCTGGGACCGTGGCTTTTTGAAGACTGGGCATCGGACAGGGAAGTAAAATGTCGCATTGAGCAAGCTCGACAAGCTTTCGTAAAATTCAAGAAAGTACTGACTTGTTCAGAGTTTGATCTTCAACTGAGACTAAGGTTTACTAAGTGCTACGTATGGTCAGTGCTGCTATATGGCGTAGAGGGCTGGACACTCAAAACGAGGGATATAAACAGATTAGAAGCTTTCGAAAGGTGGCTTTATCGCCTATCCTAAAAATACCATGGACAGCGAAAATCACAAATATAGATGTCCTTAAGAGAATAAACCAAGAACGCCAACTTTTCGAAACCATCAAGAAAAGGAAAACAGCGTATCTAGGTCACATCATGCAAAATGAAAAATACCAGTTCCTCTAACTTATAATCGAGGGTAAAATTGAAGGCAAGAGAGGAATGGGACGCAAGAAAATGTCCTGGCTCCGAAACATAAGGCAATGGACAGGGATTAACGACATACAATCTCTGACACATATTGCAAGAAATAGAGAATTAATGGAAAATGTGATCGCTAACATCAATTAGTGGATTTGCATCTGAAGAAGAAGAAGAAGAAGGTATCTCAAACGTAATTTTTTAAATAGAGTTTAATGTTTATTTATCGAGGTTTTCCTTGTAATAGGAATGACGTAATAAAATTTTGTAATGAAGTAAAAAATCAGTTTAAATAAAATTGGTATGCGCCTCTGATGGTTACGAATGGGACTCCTGCAAGCGGTTGAAAAGCGGCAGCGGCAGCAACAGCGACAGCGGCAAATGAACCAAACAAATGAAGGCGAGCGCTACGCCTCGGGCAACATGTGATATAATTCTTGCATTCTTGAGAAGCGGTTTTTCGTTCCATGTAATGGCTGCGATGTTAAGATCTTACCTGTAATCATTCTTTTATAATGAAAATTCTAGTTCCATTTAAAGCTGTACACCGTCCACGTAGAAAAGATATATTGTGAAGATCCTTTAATTGCGTTAGTATAAAAAAAAAAAATAAATGGTAAATATATATTAAATATAAAAATAAGTCTTTAAAAATAAATGTAAAGCAGTTACAAGAAAGAAAAAATATGAAATATCTTGTCTTCCTAATATAAACCCCGATATATGTTTTATAAATTAAAAGTAATGTATCTTGCTATTGGTTAATCCTCAATATTCTGCTGATCTTCTTCTTTGCACCTTCTTTGGTATAAATTACCGTTTTCTTTGAAATTTTTCACGTTATGTCCTCTAACAGCGGATTTGTGCTAAACATTTATACCTGGTCCTTCTTCCAATGCATCACCGATAGTTCCGCTTTTTATCTTAATATTTTTAATTCTAAATATGATTTATCTATTGCAGTATCAATGGTTTAGAATGAAAAAGTCGTAAGTATGTTTTTACAAATTATACAGGAGGATCAAAAAACTGGTTGTTTTGACCAATTTTGGTTGTAACGAAAAACGCTTTGGTACCATATTAGTTTTTAGAGTAATACAATGAATTGATAATAAAAAAATCTTAATGAGTAGGCACTATGGAGAAAACCAGACTTTTTGGACTTACCGACTTTTTCAGATAACAAAATTCTAGAAATTACCTGACTTACGATATTTTCAGATATCAAAAATTAAAGAAGTCGGCCCTCGACATTACATTAAATACATTTATTAAGAAATTATTAGAAGTTTTAGTACAAAATAAAACTAATAAAAATATAATTATTGTTTTCTATAGCTATAGAAAAAAATTTATTTTATCTCGTGTGGTAATGAATCATAGAATCTTTTTTGGAAGGACATGTTTCATTTCTTGAACGTGTCCAAATTTTATACCTGTAATCTTCGGTTTGTTTTGATATAAAGGTGTGATTCGTTCCAAGTCTTCTACAAACAGGCACTTTAATTCTGCGTGGAATATTAGAATACTCATCTTCATAGCTTGTGTTTACCTTAAGCTCCCCACTTGGGCAATATTGAGTACATTTTGTTTTATGTTTGTCACCACAGGATCGTCTGCTTTGTAACCCGGTCTCAGAGACGGGATATAGTTCAAACTACTAAATTTCTTGAAAAAAGAATACTCAAGCCATTCAGCATTATATGGTTTCGGTTTAATTCTGGCAGTTCTACATAATTTCTATGTAAATTACTTGGAGAATAAATTGCTCGGTTCTGTAATTTTCTCTTAATAGTAGCATGCATAGCATCGCATTACATTTGTATATGGCACTTCTCTAAAATTTTTTGAGTCATTTTTATTCCTGTTTTGACAGACGCAAGCAAGAATATATTTTCCTAAATTAAATTCCTATTCTGGTAAGTACAACCATCCACTAAAAATGATTATTTCGTTCATGGGTGGTGAACAAATAAAGTTTTATACAGACTAAATGAATTATTTTAGAACAGAATTCGTTAGCATTTTGTCTTCTTCACTTTCAGTTCACAAAAAAACAAAATCCTTCAGACGATTTTGTTATCGAATATTGTAAAATTGTGGGCTTTTAGCTCGATTCTGTAATAAAGTGATGATGTCTTTAATAGGGATATAAAAGTACTTCTTGTAAGTCCATTGTTGATACACTTTTACTGTTGTCAGAGAATTTTATCTGAATTTTTTCAGTCCTAACTAGTATCTTGTTATGTTTCTTGTATCATATAATTTTCTTCAATTTCATTTCCTAATTTGTAAGCGGAATAATAAAAGATCAGATTGATCTTTTCGATGACTAAACAATGATAAATTTTTGCTCTCAAAAACATCAAAAGTGAAAGATAAAGACGGTTTTTGATTCATTTTATTGCGGTATGTTTTATATTTACGATAAAGAGCTGCCTTTGAAGACCACATTGGTTTCAAATATAAGGTTTTTGTTCATTTTCGACAATAATGCGACTCTACTTTGAAAAAAACATCCAATAAAATTAAACACATTTTTTTAGAATCCTCAGCTTTATTTGAGGCAGCTTTAGGTTGATCCTGAACATTTTTTTCTTCATTGGCTTGTAAAGAAGCCAAAGCAGAATTCCTCTTATGTTTCAGACTCTCTTGATACTATTCAAAGAGTTCAAAGAGTTTTTGTACTTTTCTACCCAGTCACAATACACATCCAATGGCCAAAGTGTTTAAAAAAAACTTTCTTACAAACTTTTGTACTTTTCTTTAGCTACACTAAGTTTTAGGTAGTATTCACAAGTAGTCTATCTTCTGAATATTTTCTTGTTTTTAGCTTTTTCTCTCCTTGACGCTAACAATATTGACAGATTAAGCAACAAACATTTTTTTCCTTCTCAATTCATAGCCCAAAACTGAGCAAATATTTTTTGTCTTTTGGATTCATTAAACAAAGCACATTTGAGTTTCCTTCCAAGTTCACCTTTTTTGCAACCACAATGTACTTTTAATTTTCTTGCTTCTTGTCCAATAGTAAACAAATTTCCTTCTCTTCTCAAGTAATTTTGTCCTTTCATTCTCTTATCTTTGTTTGACTTTTGGATCCACTCTCCCTTTCTTAGTTTACCTTTTCATGCTTGTTTTCTTATATTTTCTAAAGAAATTTCCATGGAATTAATCAGAATTGATAGGATCATCTGTACCAATGTATTCGAGGATTTGTTTACTTAAATTGAAAGCACCATTAACGTCATCATTTTTCTGCAGAAATTACAATCGAACTACTAGCATTGGTCGGATCATGATGTATAGGTGCAACATTTGCATCAGGGTTGGTTCTTTTATTTAAATCTGTATTGATGTTTTCTAAAATTTGTTTACTTGAATCTGAGTAAAAGTTTTGACACGGGTCAAAACCACCAACAAGTTCACGGGTATTCATTTCCAATTGAAAATAACCCTCTTCTTGGACTAAGAAAATTTAGAGAACTTTCAACCACAGAATTCATTGTAAATATTATACTCGTGTCATTAGATAGACTTAGCTCTGGAGGGTTGACTGGTAGATTGAGGTAGTTTCGTGTGGGTTTTCGTCTGTATTAATAATGTCTTGCTTGATATTTACACTACATTGGACCGGTTCTGTATGTGGCTTCTGATCCATAAGAGATTCGGTCTCTATATTGTTGCAATGAGATTTTGGTTGCTGAACGGATTTTACCATTCTAGCTTCTCGAGATTGATTGGTTTGTGATACTATGCGATCTGTAATCCAAATAAATAAAGATAGCGTCTTTTTGCTGGGTGAGATGTGAGTATGATAATGTCTAAAATATCACCATTTATTCTAAAGAAAAATTCTGTTGCCATAGGTGTCCATTTTAAAATGAAAACCACGTAAGTCAGACCCAAGCAACTGGGACTTAAGAGTAAACAAATAAGGCACGATCTTAAAACTCCAGTGAAAAAGTCGTAAGTTAAGACATACGACATTTTCACTGAAGTATAATAAGCATTTTCTCGACTTACAATGTTTGTCATTGAAATTATAATCATTTTATTTCGTTTTTAAACGCAAAAAACACTAAATATTAAGCGAAATAATTAAGGAAAAACAATAGCTAATAGGAAATAAAGGGTACAAAAATGTAATAACCTTACCCATTTCCCAAATAAATTGAGTTTTTTCACAAATTAAAATATTATTTATCAGCATGTTCACTCGATATGTGACAACTTCACTGGTAAATATACAATTCAAGACTGATAACATTTGCATTTTTCGCCAGATGGCAGCAGGAGATTATTTCTATTTCTCTCTCTCTCTCTCTCTCTCTCTCTCTCTCTCTCTCTCTCTCTCTCTCTCTCTCCCTCTCTCTCTCTTAATTTTAATATGCAAGGCCTTACACAATACATCGGTATAAAAATCTCAATATCGAAAAAATAAGACTTCTGACTTTTTCATTTTCATTTCATTCTAGACCATCGATATGTAGAGTTCAACACGTATAAGGATAAGTTACCAACATGTATGAAGGATCTTTTATAAGACCTAAAAACTCCCTAGAGCTATAAAGTAGCAATATCAGAGAGTTACTTTTAAAAATCAAACAATATACGCCAGCTTTCAAACTGCCACTAACTAGGAAATGGAACAACATGCGAAAGAGAAGAAGAATGTTAACTCTCAACTACAGGGATCCTTTACTTTGGATTTTTTTCGTTTTAAAGCAGCATACATTTTTTTTACCTATGTTGATTTATTTATCCATGAAAAAATATCTAAAACATATCAGTTGCTTACCGTTCAGTTACTTTTCTTGATTATTTTTTGCTATTAAATTTTAAACCCGTAGCCAGTGAGATGCAATTTCAGTAACATTATTTATTCGCTTATAAGTATATAAGTATTACATAAAAAAGTTATTAATATACCTTTATTTTACAACAGTACTGAAAATTTCTTCTTTTACTAACAAGCCTCCAGGATTTCATCAATTACAACAAAAAGTGTTTTTTTCTGGCGAAGTTAAAAATATGTTATATAAAGACGGTCTAGATTTTTGTTTCAATACAGAGCGGCGGCAAGTCCCTTTATACGTATTTTCGACCTCTTTACGTCTCTTTTGAGCAGTATAGCCACCTCTCTGGATCGAAACAAAATTTATTCCGGTTCTTAGACAATAGTTATAAAATAACTATATACGAACGTAACTACGCCATCTAATAACAAAAAGAGAAATCAATAAGATGGGAATAGATTTTGTTTCGATCCAGAGAGGTGGCTATAACGCACTGAAGGGACCTAAAGAGATCGAAATACGTATATAGCGGCTTGCCGCCGCTCTGTATTGAAACAAAAATCTAGTATCGTCTTTATATTTTATTTCTTTACTTCGTTTGGAGTACTAGAGATTGAATTCACTACGAATTTTGACATGATGAACGGCATGTGGAATGCAGTCTAGAATCTCTTGTCGAGTAAATTATCAAGCTGTTTACTTTTGCAGTTTTAAAAAGCACAGTGGTCAAGATTTGAATTCTATTTCGCCAGGTAGAAATCGTTTGATTTCACTTTTTGTTAAGAATATGTATATATAAGGGTTTAAGAGAAACAATAATTTTTATAAAAAAAATAAACATATTTATTCATTAAAAAAATTCTGACAACAGATGAACTACTTTAATTTTAAATAACTTATATTTTCGTTATCCTAACCGGATCAGAAAACATATAGTCAAATTGATCACATAATGATTAATAAACGAAAACAATCGTCAATTAAAAGATGTAAGAACGTTTCAGAGGTTGCGTGTGGAGATTCAGACCACTACATGGTCACAGCCATTTTGAGACAAAAAAGTTAAAATTGAAACAAAACAAAAAAACCAACATAAAAAGTGGAATGTCAATAAATTGAGATAATGAAGAAGTAAGAAAAAAAATATGAAGAGGCAGTAACAGTTCAAATAAAAAGAGAAATA